TCAACTCTACAAGTCAATTCATACTGCGATGTCGCGACTGGGAAGTAACGCTCCACTCCCGCCATCAAGATGGGCAGTCGCAGATGGGTATGGAAACCGAGCCTCCTCTCACATAGGATTATTGGGAAACTGCACTTCTGTCCAATTACTTTTCACAACTTTCATATAGAGTTTCACTTTTCAAGTTCCTGAACCTTCAGTGCAAGGCTACCCATTTCAGTTCTTCGTCTTCCATTTCAAGCCAGTTTGTAGTAGCTAATGTGGGGCGTTAGCAGTTAGGAAAACTTTCCAAGTGGCACGGCACAGGCATAAAAGGGCATTCATACAACAGTCAAGCAGTCGCGCTTCATACCAGATATTGGAATTCTTAAGGAAGCGCGATGACGCGCTGTAACGCGCGCGGGCGCGCTACCACTGCAATGGTGGTCCAGTGCTACAGACGCGAACGCAGCCGCAGGCGGGTTTCGATCGACGCCGGCCTTAGTGTTTTGAGTAGGTATAGAAGAATATGAGGTACCAGACTGTGAAAGTAGCGCCTACCCTCCTGTTGTCCTATACTCTCTGGGAACACAAGCGGCCGGCGCCGATCGATACCCGCTTGTAGCTGCGTTGCACGGGAGCGCCACGACAGAAGCACCGCGTACATACGCGTTACGGCGCATCGAGGCGCGTCATCGCGAAGTCTGAACTCTGCCTAAGATTTCTGCTTATTTACATTAGAATTTACTCCTTCCATCCTGAAAATGATTGTCAATACAAGCCTGAATCTGTTGCAAGACAGGGTCTCTGAATCCAACACCCATCATATTTTTTTGCGATTCCCTCCCCTCTTTTGTCTATTTTATTTGAAGGGTTTGACTAAATATTTGAATATTTGTCATCGTTGGTGCAGTTTCATTTTCGGAAGTCTGGTGCTGGAAAGCGGGCTGAGTCACCGTCGTCTAACCGTAGTCGACATTGATGTGTTCACCACTCTTCACTTGCACTGCTTGGGCTCTTTGTGTTCGGATTTCAGTATAACTGTGTCTGTCCATTGCATGATGTCGTTATGTGTTTGTCCTAATGTGCTGTGTGTTGCATGCGGCATTTCTCGCCACAATCATTACTGAGAGCGTTTGTTCGAGACGACGGCGGTGACACAGCTAGCGCCATTACAGCTCTGGCGGCATCGCGTCTACGCATTGAGCTGGCCATTTTAGCTGCCAAGTTGGCAACACGACAAGCGGACGTTGACGCCCTGTTCCGTGCCAATGCCGAATTGGCGCACACCAACGTTCGTTTGCAGAACGAGCTAGAGGAGACCGAAGAGAAAGTCATGACTAGCGATGAGAATCGCAGAATTGAAGAGCTGCAGGTAAGAAAGGCTAACTATAACTGCTTGCGATTGTTTGAGAGTACTGAGCTCACATCCAGCTCCACGTGAAGCTGGGCTGAGTTTGATTATCGCGAATGGTTGTTTGGCGATATAGAAGCCAGCTGACGGCCGGCGTCACTTGGAGATGGATGATATGTAATCAGTAATATTATGTTACTAGTACTGATGGTGGAATAGCAAAAAAGACCAAAGCATGATTGGAGAAAAGGGCGCAGTTCGGCGACGGAGGGGCATTTTATACTTCCGTTGCTTCACTAGTTCCGGTTTACAAGTCTCACTCTGGTGAAACCTGTGAACTCTTGTGAAGCTGGAGCAAGGTCGTCAAGCCATCATGGTAAAACCTGTCAACTCGAGAAGAGGCTGTCTAGATAGGTCGACACGTCGATGGGAAGTAGCAAAGTGCAAAATGCCCCCCCCCCCGTCGCCTGAACTGCGCCGGAGAAAAGTGTTGCTTTATCGCGTTAATGCAGATCTAGCCGCTAACGTGTTTGGAGGCCGGGGAATGAGGACCACTACACAGGCTTCTACGTCTCTTTCCCCACCCAGTGCCTCGGCCTAGAGCTTAGGCGGTCTGAGCCGCCACGGGTTACTCTTACAGGGAAGACATTTCTACGCGACCATGACACTCCTGCGCTCTAAGCCTAAAACTTGGCTCGAGAAGGAATGCAGGGCTGCTGTGGAATCTGCATGGTAATTCCTTGGGTGGCTTTGTTTGGCCAAGCCACCCTGTTCATTTTTCAGCTTTACAAAGTGTCTCGCCTTATCGGAGGTGATGTAGTGGATCCGGGAATAAAATCCTGGATCGACTCCCGCCCAGGCCAACCAAGCCTTCTACCTTCCGGGGACGGTAAATTGGTACCAGATTCGTCTGGGAGGATAAAAACACTGACTTGTATATCGGCCCGCATTCAGTCGGTCACTATGGTTTCTACGGATCCCACAAAGGGATTAATCAACGGCCAAGGATTTATCCTTTGGGCGGTTTTCCACCGTTTCAAGCTGTGGACTCGGCCTGAGCGAAAGCTCGTTTAGTGCCAAAGCGTGAAAGTGTCCGTGGGAAGTCCCATGGCTTTTTTAGAAGTTACGGTACGAAAACTCCATAAGCACGATCCAATGGATCAAAATAAAATGAATATACTGGAGTCATCAGCGAATCCTTTCAAACAGTCGCAGGCTAGCATAGGAAAGAAGGTTGCTACTATTTTCTGTATAACTGATAAATACTCCAGGCCGAACTGTCCGTATCGAGATCTAATGAGGAATCGCTCCGACGACAACTAGACGAGGTTAGAACCATCCTCAACGAGACAGAACAGAAATTGGACGAGTTTGAAGCTGAGAAAGACAAGGCGAGTCGATCGAACGAAGCTCAAAGCCGGCTACTCGAGGAGTCAGAGGTAATCATTGCAAAAGTCTCTCAAAACGCATAGGTGATAAGGCGCACACAGTCGTCACTAAATGTCAGTTGAGGTAGTCAGCGGGGCGGGGCTTTTGTTTTCTCATCGACAGTTGCGGCTTCGGGGGTTGACTGAATGATGGGGAAGGGGCTCGCGTCTCGCCGAAACCGCGTCTTGCTGACACGCCCCGATTTATTCCAAAGATAAGAGTTGTAAGTGCTGTTTGGCGCAATCTCATCCTTGTAGATTTGATTTTTTAGACTTTGACTTACCATGGAACACGTTCGTCGGCGTCGACAAGCTTGGAAGAATCAGCAAAAGAATCTGTCGAATTGCGAGAAGAGGTTCGTTATTCAAATTCCAGTCTTATTCAATTCCCAGTACAATGAAGGATTGATGACTTCTTAGGTGGAACGTCTGCAGAATGTAGAGAAACTGCTCAATGAGCGGATTATGTGTCTAGAAGATCAGCTGCTTGAAGTAGAAGAAAAGTTCCAGGAAGTCGAGGAGGAATGCCTTAGTGAAAAGAAGAAAGTGGAGGCGTTGGAAGCCGAGAAAGTCTCTACCGCAAGAGAAGTGGAGCAGGCCAATGTGTCTGTACAGAGTACCAGTGGCGATGGTAGTCAGTGGGGACTCAGCGATAGGGTGGATTCCGCCATGGAAAGTGACCTCCAGCAACAGTTGGAAGCGGCCAGAGATGAAGTGCTAATTCTTCAGAAAGAGCTGGACGAGGCACGTAGACAATTAGCTGAAACGTCGGCTGGAGACGGTTGGGGCTTCGAAGGGTCGAGCAGTGGTGCACAGTCTGCTCAGGCCGAAATCGAATTGTCACGTGTGAAAGAAGAACTGGAAGAGGTCAGAAAGCAATTGGCTCTGCAGAAGCAAGTCCAACGTGAACGCGAATCTTCTGAAATAGAACGCCATATTCGTGAGAAAGAACGAATTGAAGGCGAGTTGAAAGCAGTAAGAAAAGAACTCGAGGAACTCCAGAATGAAAGAGACGCGTTGTTTGCAGGCGGAGACCGGCCAGATGAGGAATGGGGTTGGGGTGGTGCGCAACCTCAAAACACATCCGAGATCTCTGCCCTGCGCCAAAAACTCCTGGAAATGGAAAAGATTGAGCGTGAGCAGCAGGAAACGATACGAAAACAGGAAGCCAAAATTAGTGCTCTGGAAGAGGAACTGAGCACTGCTGATACATGCCGTGAAGAGTTAGAGGACGCTTCACAACAGGTCAACGAGCTGCAAAAAGAATTGAGAGAGGTTGGTGAAGTTTCGTGAGGAAGTCCTTGTCAGTTAAGTTCCTTTGTTGACGGGCTGTAGTTTTACTGGGAATGCTACGAGTAATAAAGTCAGATAAACAGGCACTTGGAGTACCGCATTCAGCTCCACCTGGGGCAGGAAAGGGTCATATTGAAGAAGAGCTTTCCGCCTCGCGATGGTGGACCCTGGCCGTACAGCACTCCACAATACATTAGAGAACTAATTTAAGAACCCCTGCATGCTTTCAACTATTGAATGGTAACATGTCTTCAAAAGATTGTAGTGTGTTTTTTTGGTTTTTCTTCAAGCCGAACCATTTAGCAATTATTGAGTGAGGTACACCGTAGCTAAGCTATCTTGGATGGTCATGAACCTTTTAATGACATATCTGTCCACTCTTAACGATGATAAGAAGCACGGTTGTTCAAATCAATGGAAGCTGAAGGTTTTCAGAGGCAGAGGTGGTGTAGTGGCAAGTGACACGCTTAGAACGCGCACGGTCCGGGGATCAAGTCCGTTATCGGCTCCCGCCCAGGCCAACGGAGCCCTCGACTCCCCTTTCCCCATCCCCCGGAATGGTGATTGGTATCAGATCCGTCTGGGAAGATAAGAACACTGATTTGTACAACGGCTGGCCTCCGCAAGGCAAGTGTACAGGTCCCATCGCATTCAGTAAGCCGGTTTGAGTCCAATTGTACTCACTGACAGAAATTTTAGATGAAAAAGCAAGCCCAGCTACACACTGAAGAGCAGCAACGTTTGAATGCTAGAATTGCTGAGTTAGAATCGAGAACTGAGAATGCCTGGGGTGACGAGTGGGACACCACGACCAACAAGAGCGGTGAGGATAAGCCGGCGTTGGAGCAATCACGATCTGAGGTGAGCATTAACTCTCTTTATGTGATAGTGTTATAGGCTGTAGCAATTATTATCATATTTGTCCAGCATAAAAATCCCGTTACAGGCTTATCAAAGAATTGCCGAGTTAGAACTGCAAGTCGAGCAGAAAGTTTGTGCTCTTGTGGACGCCGAGAAGGAATTGACAGTGTTACGAGAACGTTTCGAGAAGATCGCAACTGAGAAGTCTGACCTGCAGGTAATTCTTCAAGACTCTTCAGGGAATGACGTTGGGGCAGTGCACTCTGCGGCCGTAGTTGTGCTTTTTTATGTGGTTGTAGTGCAGTGTCTCCTTCAAGTGACGTAAAATGGCTGTGCTAGTGCACGCGAGTCGCTCACGGCTTAGAGGGA